GCACCGGAGGCCAGCGCCACCTCCGGGAGATCTGCCAGGGGAGCCCGCCGCCGAGGCTCAAGAGGTCCGCGCGGGCCTCCGGGGCTCTGCGTGCGCGCCGCTTGCTGATCCCCCGGGGCTGCCCATCGCTCGGACGTCCATTTCCTGTGTTTTTTGTCGGTTTCGTGCGTGGTTCTTTCGCCAAATGATCAAGGATGCTCCTCGATGTTCCTCGCCGAGGAAAAACGCACACGTCCGAGCGATGCCAAGGGGGGGGTGGGGGGGAGCAGCTGCCCGGCGCTTGGGGGCGGGTGGCTCTCGAGTCGGGCCGACGCGTCGGCCGTCCTCGCGTGTCGACGCAGCCAGACCTCCAACAGCTATGAGGATGGATGGCGGGATGTGGCGGAAGGCGGGCTCTCGCCTGAGCTTTCCTGTCACGCTCGAGAATCAAAACTGAAACTCCCAACGACATCGCGCTCTCACCTGGGACGTCAGTGCAACACAGCACCCTGCGGATTGACGTTCTGACGGTCACACGGGTGGCAGACAGCTTCTTACCAAAGCCGAATTGCACGCTTCCAAATGTCTTCGCCATCTGCAGCATTACGCACCTAAATTTTCCAGCAGCCGCACGGACGGGGGGCCCGGCTCAATTTCCAATTCGTGTCCTTGCTTCGGCGCCGAGCGCATTCTTGGACGGGAAGGCGGCTCGCTCTCTCGATCTCGCCGTGTGTTGGCCTGGCACATGGCCGGATGGTGATGTGACGCGTGCTCGCGTCGTCAAGCCTGCCTTCCCGCCTGGGAGGCCGACGTGCGACGGAGCTAAGAGCTTGTGCGCGCCTGGCACGCACCTGTCAGCCGCGCCGCCTTCGCTGGGCCACTTCGCGCGGGGGTTCTCTCTTCCCCATGTTCCTTCGGCCGTGGGAAGGTCGCTGGCGTCCTGCCTCGTCCCGACGGAATGAGGACTGTGCGAAGGTCAGGCCTTCCAGTGCCCCACACGTCCACCGTAGGTGGAGGTGGGCGGGACGTGGAAGAGCAGGTACTGTAGGAGAAGAGGGCGGAGAAAAGGAGGCGGAATAAATGAAGCGTGAAGCGGGAGGCGGGAAACGGCGAAGGCGAATGGGGGAACGGCGAGACGGAGGATGAGGCCGCTTTCAAGCGCTAGATGTCCTCTGCTTGTGTTTTTTCCTGCTGCTGGAGTCCTGCTCATGCGTCCCAACGGTGGTCCCGCAGCCATTCGCTCGTGGAACCGCCTGGTGGCGCCCCGCCCGTGCCTTCCAGCCATCAACCACGCGGCCAGGACAGCTGTCGGCGTGGCAAGTTACACGTTCGCCGTCCTGGACGGCCGCACGACCAGAGAAACACCGAAGCTACAAGGAACGGCTCAAGGAGGCTCTGGGCGGGAAGCCGAAAGCTGAAGTCAGTTTTAACGCCCACCCTACCCAAAGAAATCTCCACCCCCACAGCAAGGTATGCCCTGCTGCGCAGAAGTGCGACGCGTCGAACACATGCCACGAAATTCAGTTTATGTTGGTGCGCAGCCGAGTTGCTTTGTCAAGGGCTCTCCAGTGGTCGCTCGGCTGATTGGCGAGCAAGAGTCTCAAAATTCAGCACTGCGGCGCTGATGCTAGACAACACCTGTGAGCGAAAGTGTAAGATCGATGGGGGCACTCCCTCTGACGCTCGGGTCCAGCGTCGAACATGAATTTCAGTATGGAAGTGAATGGAGGCGGCGACCATTCTGCGAATGACCATCGGATCATTAACCATAGTCTGGTGAGGCATGTTCCTGCTCAGCCCCCAATCCCCGCATCATGAGCAAACCGGGGCATGGGAAGGCGCGGCAAAGGACAGTGAAGTGCGAAAGATGGGGGGCACCGCCAGTAATGGCACATTGTGTCCCGTGCCGAAAATGGGAAGTGATCCAGCCCGCACAGAGTGCAGGAGCGAAATGCACGAGCTCTCGACGCAGAGACTGCCACCCGAGGCAGCAGCGCTTCCCCTCGCGCGCTAGCGGAGGCTCCGCGCACAGAATTACGGAGGAGGAGGGAGAGGAGGGGGAGGGGGAGAGGGAGGAGGAGGAGGAGGAGGAGGAAGGAGGAGGAGGAGGAGGAGGAGGAGGAGGAGGAGGAGGAGAGGAGGCGGAGGAGGAGGAGGAGGTAGGAGGAGGAGGAGGAGGAGAAGGAGGAGGAGGAGGAGAGGAGGAGGAGGGGAGGAGGAGGAGAGGGAGTAGGGGAGAGAAGGATAAGGGAGGAGGAGGAGGAGCGAGGAGGAGGAGGGGAGGAGGAGGGGAGGGGAGGAGGAGGAGGAGGGGAGGAGGGGGAGGTTTTCCCGCGGCAGAGGCACGCCGCACGGTGACACGCCGAGGAGTGCCGCGCGGCTGCCGCATGGGCTGCACGCTGGCTGGCTGGCGGCGTGGGCGACGGCCCCCAGGACCGCCCCCCCCCGTGCGCCACGAGCCCCTCTCCGCGCCCTCGACAAGCTGCGCACCCGCCACGAGGCATGCTCCACGGCTCGCCGTGGCCTGGGCCGCCGACCGTCGTGTGCGGCCTGGGCAGCCCCATCGCGACCAGCCCGCTGGGCGGCGCGGGGGCGGGCCGTCGAGATCCGCTGGCGAGGGGACGTCCGGATGGGGCGGCCGCAGGTCATCGAGGAGCACACCTCTGCGATGCTCTGCGGCTGCTGCCAGCAAGGCGGGCTCAGGAATCTACGGAACCACCGCAGAGTGGGTCCGTGAAACTCGGCGGTGTGCATTCAGCCTGGAGTGCCACACTCTGCCCATTGTGAACAGGGAAAAACACGCCGCGGCTGCATTCTAAGCGGCGATGGATGGAAGACCAGCTCGTTCCCGCGGGAGGGGAGAGTGGAAGCCAGTCGGCTGAGTCTGGCGGGGCCTGCGGACCTTGCGCAGTGCACATATCGCATCGCAGTCATCTAGAGTCGACTGCAAAACTGGGCGAGCTACGACAGCGCAGGCACCGTTGAGCTGGCAGTAGGAAAGAGATTGATCGCCATCGCGGCGTCATCTGCAGCCTGGAGCTGAACGCGCGTCCATCAGAGAGAGGCGAGAGGAACACGAGATTCGCAGTTGCCCGGGGGCGAGCACAATCCCCGTACCCATCGATCGGAAGAAGTAGGTAGAAACGTGAAGTAGGAAGGCGTTGAACATAGATTGGGTGTCCGCCCGCCCCCTGAAGAGGACGGAGAAGGTGAAGCCACTCGATCATTGAAGTAGGAAGGCGCTTAAAGTAGATTGGAAACTGGGACTCCCAAAAACCTACTTTCAACGATCGATGGGTAATGGGAAGAGCTTGGACTCAGTGACCAGGGGCGAACTACTAGCAAGAGGACGCATAGCCCTGAAGGGTGCAATAACTGCGCTGGGCAGCGGCGCCTCTGCTGGGCGTAACCCGATGTCGTCAGCGCACTCCGCCACCGTGAGTCCAATGCAAACAGAGCGCGGAGGTGACGAAGCGGAGCGTCGAATGCGAGTGCCCAGAGGGATCCACGCAGAAGGCGACCCTGCTGGACTTCCGAACTGATGAGGCAGGAGGTCTCGCTGCCGGGCCTGATGGCCGGAGCCTGTACGGAGCGCGAACGACATTCATGAACCCTCGGCGAGGCCATGAACCAGGCGAAATACCCAGACATCCGACGTCTCGATTTTTTCGAGACGCGGGCCCCCGACCTCCCGACCACTTCCCTGGGACCGTTTTTCATCCCGAGTCGTTTTTTGACGTTCCCGAGGCCCGGCGAGGGCCCCGAGAGGCCGAAAACTATGGAAAGCCTCCGCCTCGATTTTTTCGAGACGCCCGATGTCTGGGTAGGAGAAAACACAACCGGCGCCTGGGAAAATGCGCAGTGCTGTGGGTCTCGAAGCCGATGGCGGCAGAACTGGCCGTCACTTGGCGCCCTGCTGCCTGGGGCCCACGCGTGATTCCACCAGGTCAAGGCCCGATTGACGGCCGATACGACCATCTTCGCATCCGCATGCTTCAAGCTCAAGGGGCGGACACAGCCGGTGCCCCGAAGACAATCGATAGGCACAAGGAGTGGCCCCCAGCAACAGCCAGGGGAAGCAAAGGGCAGGCTCAGCAATGCCACTCCCGTGTAGGCTGCGGCAGGACCTGGACTCCCCTCCAGGTATCTTGCGCGCCTGCGCTCGGCTGGGCGCAGGGAGGGGGACGAGGAGAGGGCGGGGGCAGCCATTTGCAGCAACAGCAGCAACAAGGCAGAGAATTGTTGATTTATCCTCGGGCTTTCGTCAGAACGATAGCTCCTGCACGTAGCCGACGCTCGACGGAAGGGCCCGAGGGGGGCCGAAAAAACGCGAAGGACGGCCCCAGGAACCACAGACAACCGAGCGGAGGGACACGACCGAAAAAAGGGGCCACGAAACAGCGAGGGCCCGAAAGCTACAAAGTGAGGCTGGAAACGCCTGGAGGGGATTGGACTTGCATCAGGGAGGGGGCGAGAAGAAGACAGAGGGGGGGCAGCAACAGCAGCAGCAGGGCTGGGAGGCAGGCCAGCGGCGGGGAGAAGGAGGCCAGGGCGGTCGGCGTGCGCGGTCGTCGGGGGCGGCCGTCGGGGCGGACGCGGGCGCGGTTTCTGCTGATGATGGTGATGCTGCTGCTGATGATGATGATGCTGCTGATGATGATGATGATGATGATGATGATGGTGATGATGATGGTGATGCTGCTGCTGCTGCTGCTGCTGATGATGATGATGATGATGATGATGATGATGATGATGATGATGATGATGATGATGATGATGATGATGATGATGATGACTCATGATGACTCTGCTGAGGAGGAAGAGGAGCGGGAGGAGGAGCAAGACTGAGGAGGAGGAGGAGGCGGAGGAGCGGAAGGAGGAGCAGGAGGAGGAGGTGGAGGAGGAGGAAGAAAAGAGAGGAGGAGAGAGGAGAATGATGACGAGGTGAACGGGGAGGACGTGCCGGACGAGTTGGCAGAGCAAGGCGGGGCCCCCGCTGCCCCTGCCCCCCACCCCGGGTCCGGCAGCTCGGCCTCCTGGAGGAGGGCGGCCTCCGTGAGCGGCCTGGCCCAGCCAGGGCCGGGGCGGAGGAGGGTGGAGGGAGGAGGAGGGAGGAGGAGGAGGAGGAGGAGGAGGAGGAGGAGGAGGAGGAGGAGAGAGGAGGAGGAGGAGGAGGAGGAGGAGGAGTGTGAGGAGGAAGGAGAGAGGAGGAGGAGGAGGGGGAGGAGGGGGAGGGGGAGGGGGAGGAGGAGGAGGAGGAGGAGGAGGAGGAGGAGGAGGAGGAGGAGGAGGAGGAGGAGGAGGAGGAGGATGGACGGAGGATGGACGGAGGAGGACGGAGGGGAGGCCTGAGGAGGAGGAGGAGGAGGGGGAGGAGGAGGATGGGCGGAGGAGGGAGGAGGAGGACTGAGGAGGAGGACTGAGGAGGAGGACTGAGCAGGAGGAGGGGGAGGAGGAGGATGGGCGAAGGAGGACCAGTGTAAACCCCAGACGCACCAACGGTGTTGAAACACACCCTCCCTCCACATTCCCCCTCCATAAGCCCCTGCGAGCATGTTCTGTCATGGCGGAAAAATCTCGATTGGAAGACAATCGTTTGATAATCCCCCACCGTGCCTAAACACCATTCCTGGAAGTGCAGCGTCGCGAATCAAAGTGACCGTTGTGTCCTGACAGTCCTGAGTCGCGCAAGGATGCCATTCCTGGGGCTTCAACGCCTCGAAGCCACCAGACTTCTGCGTCCTGGTAATCCCATAAACCGTGCAGGAACACTATTCCTGGGACTTCAGCCATGCGAATCTTTGAAGCTGCTGTTGGAAAAACATGTAAGACGAGTGCGCGCGACGCTAAAGCGAGAGCCACCTTTTCAAAACGGCCCAACCCCCATCCTTGAACATGCTGCAATTTGTTCAAGCGGATGTCTGCCTCGCTCAAACGAAAACCGCATGTTGAAAACAGCTCGCCATCCATCCGTGAAACTGCTGCAAACTTCTCAAACGAATGAAAAGGGAACACCATTTTGAAAACCAGTCGCCCTCTATCTTTGAAACGGTTGCAAACTTGTAAGGCAAATGTGCGCAGCGCTGAGGCGAGATCCACATGTTCAAACCGGCCCGCCCTCCATCCTTGAAACTGTTAAACGTTTCAAGCATCAAGATCAAAGATGGTGAGGAGCACTCAGGCATAACGCCAAGCCTGCCCTACCAACACGCCCGGGGGTGCGACAGCGAGGAGGTGCTCACTAGGAAAGAGGATGCGGAGCAGGAGGAGGAGCAGGAGGAGGAGGAGGAGGAAGAGGAGGAGGAGGTGGAGAAGGAGGAGGAGGAGGAGGAAGAGGAGGAGGAGGAGGAGGAGGAAGGGGATGAAACGGAGGGGGAGAATGAGGACCTCCTCACTCCTCACCGATGCCCTCCCCGCCAACCCACCCACCCCGGACATCGTCTACGAATTCACCCCCCCGCTGTCTTTTCCAAGCTGACTCCACGGAGCCCACTCCGAAAAAGGGGGGCTTGACACCAGAAGTAGGGTACGTAGAAGCAGAAGTCCCCGCACCGTGCCGCGAGTGGCAAAAATGCCGAGAAGGAGGAAGGAGAGTAGCGATCAGTAGCAACAGCCGTAGGACGGCGAATAGGGAGAGGAAAGCAGAAGAATTCACGGAAATCATCCTCGCGGGAACCCTGAGTGCAAGCTTAGAACCTAGATAACGGTTCAGTCTCCCGGGAATGTCATCTGTGATTTACGAGGGAATCCCCTGTGCAGCCTGCTCAGATTCTGCTGCCGCGTCTGACTGAGGCGCAGGGGGTATCATGGAGCCTTCACACAAATTTCCACAGGATGACCAAAACAGCACGCCTCGATACACCATGAGGGTGTGCGAAGGATCACGAAGCTGAATGCTTGGATGATGGCCCCCGTCGGCCCTAGAGGGGGGACGCGGGACGATCTCAGCGGACGACCCAACTCCGCGGCAACACGACAGACCTCGGGTCAACACTCATCAAAGCGACTTCTTAAGACAGGAAAGCGCTTCGAGCGGACATTAGATTTCAGAGAAACTCTTATTCGGAGGAAAAGGAGGAGGAGGACGAGGAGGAGGAGGAGGAGGAGGAGGAGGAGCAGCAGCAGGGAGGCCAACGCCTCCTCCTCCTCCGCCTCCTCCTACTCCTCTACTCCTCCTGCTCCTCGTCCTGGCCTCGTCCTCCTCCTCCTCCTCCACCTCTTCCTCCTCCTGCGCTTCTTCATCCTCCTCCTCCTTCCCCGCCTCCTCCTCCTCCTCCTGCTCCGCCTCGACGGCGCACTGTCCCAGAGCTCTGTGACTGGGCACCGACCCCCCTGGAACAACCGCTGCACAGCGCCCAGCTGAAACGCCGAGCAACCAAACAACGGCCACCTCAGAGGGGGAGAAGTTGCTCCTCCTCATCCTCCTCCTCTTCCTCCGCCTGCTCTTCCTCCTCCACCTCCTGCACCTCCTTCTCCTCCTGGGCCGGAGCGCGAGTCTATCGCTGACGGCCGCGCTTGCGCGCCCGCTTCCTCCTCCTCCTCCCCTCCTCCTCCTCCTCCTCCTCTCTCCTCTCCTCCTCCGCCCTCCTCCTTCCTCCTCCTCCTCCTCTCCTCCCGCCGCCGCCTCCTCCTCCTCCTTCCTCCTCCTCTCCTCCTCCTCTCCTCCGCTCCTCCTCTCCTCCTCGCCGCGCCTCTCCTCCGCATCCTCCCTCGCCGCGACCCCTCATCCCCTCCCCCGCCTCCTCTTCTCCTCCCGCCTTCTCGTCCTGTCCTCCTTCTCCTCCGCACTCTCTCCTCCTCCTCTCCTCCTCTCTCGGTCCCTCGCCGCCGATCTCCTCTACCCCGCTCCTTTCTCTTCCTCCTACCTCCTCGTCCCTCGTCCTTGCCTAGTCCTCATCCTCCTCCTCCTCCTCTCCTCCTCTTCCTCCTCCTCCTCCTCTGTCCTCCCAGCCTTCTCCTCCTCCTTCCTCATTCTCCTCCTCTCTCCTCCTTCTTTCCTCTTCCTTTCCTCCTCCTCCTCCTCTCCTCCTCCTCCTCCTCCTCCTCCTCCTCCTCCTCCTCCTCGCTGGGCCCTGCCCCCGTCGAAGTGCCGGCCTGTGTCCCCAGCGCGTCTCCGCCCGCCGCGCGGCCGCCGAGGCGGTCGCCCTGGCGGGGCCGCGTCGGGGCTCGAGGGAGCGCCGGGAGGAAGCGGAGAGACGAGGGGGAGCAGGGCTGACATCCCTCCCTCCAGCTTCCTCCCTCCATCCTGCTCGCCCTTCTTCCCCCTATCCTTCATCCCGCCCCTCACTTCTTCTTACCATTCTTATTCGTATCACTATTGTTCCCCTTCCGAGTATTCTTATAATGATGCTTATTCGTATTACTATTCTTAGTGCGACTAGTATTATCAATATTGTTGATCTGATCCGTTGTTAATGGTTCTTGTCTTTTTCCTTGTGCTCATCCTCCTCCACCTCCTCCTCCTCCCTCTACCCTCTTCCCGCCTCCCCCCTTCCTCATTTGTCCATCCTCCTCCTTCCTCCTCCCTCTTCCGTTTACTCTCCTCCCTCCTCCCTCGTCCGTTCGCTCTCTTGCCTCCTCCTCCCTCCTGTTCCTCCTGCTCCTCCCTCCCCGTCCTCTTCCTTCCTTTCTCCCTTCTCCTCCTCCTCCCTGCATTTGCGCTCTCCCTCCTCCTGTCGAAGCGAAGGCAGGAACACCCGCAGGAGGCGAAGATCCCGGAGGAGCAGGGCTGACCTCCTCCCCTCTCCTCCTCCCGCTTCTCTCCTCGCACGTTGGGAGACGGAACTCACAGAGTCCCATAGAGGGACCTGGGGAGCCCTCCCGAAGAAGTGGCGCGACGCCGGCCCGCTTGGATGGCATGTCGGAGGCACAGGGGACGTACATGAAGTCTTGCGCGGGGCAGGTACTCTTGTCGGGGGGGAGCAGCTGGGGCGAATTGTGCCTGCAAGGACAGCCACCTATCTCTTCCTCTATCTCTATCTCTCCCTGTTGTTTCAGATAAACAGAAATCTAGATACATATCTGTGTATACCTACATGCCTGTATATAGGTGTGTGCGTGTCTGTATGAACACGCATAAAACATACATACATACATGCGTTATGCTACGAATGCGCGCTCAGCATGTCGTCCTGTCCAAATCACGGTGGCAATACGCATGAACGCCATCAACAAGCATGGTATATGCTGATAACCTCGCGTAATGCGCAAATTCCTCTGAATGTCGCACGATATCCCCGCAGCGCGTAGCCAGAAGGCCAGACTCTCGGAATCGCCCGAAGCCTGTCTGAAGGCTCACCCTCCAGCTCATCTTCTCGCTGCTGATACTCCTTCTCCCACTCAGATTCCTCCTAAGAAGCTCGCAAGAGGAGTCTCCCATGCATGCATTGTTCTCAGCTGGTAGATCTGGGGCAGGTGCGCACAATTCCTTTCTGAATCGTTAGCCCTGCGCTGTATTCACAGCTTCCCTTACGCCCCAAGCACCATGGAACCACTGGAACACAAACGCCGTGCTACCTGGGGCACTGGAAGGGTGAACAGACGGAAGCGGAAGCAGATTATGGAAGGGAGCAGCCGAGGATGGAGCATGGAGCATGGACTGGCCTGCCCCCCAAGAGGCACATTCGAGAAGAGAACTGGCGAAACAAACAGTGCAACAGGCCTGGAAGGCAAACATGCGGGCAAATGCGCCCGAACGTGAAACACCAGCAATATGGACAATCCGGTGGAACCAGCCGAGGAGGCGAAAGGGGAGGGAGAAGGGAGGGGGAAGGAATAGAGTGACTCCTCCTCCTCCTCGTAATCACAGCCATCATCATCAGCAGCAGCAGGATCATCATAAGCAGCAGCATCATCAACAACATCATCAGGCATCATACTCACCATAAGCACCAGCATCATCATCACATCAACCATCACCATCACCATCACCATCACCACCATCACCATCACCATCACCATCATCACCATCACCATCATCATCATCATCATCATCATCATCATCATCACCATCACCACCACCATCACCACCATCATCATCATCATCAGCATCATCATCATCATCATCATTATCATCATCATCATCATCATCATCATCATCATCATCATCATCATCATCATCATCATCATCATCATCATCATCATCATCGTCATCGTCATCGTCATCGTCATCGTCATCGTCATCGTCATCATCATCGTCGTCGTCATCAGCATCATCATAATCATCACCATCACCATCATCAGCAGCAGCATCAGCATCATCATCCTCTTCTTCTTATTATTCTTCTTTCCCCTCCTCCTGTTCCTACTCCCTCTCCTCCTACACCGTTGGTGCGTCTCGAGTTTGCCCTGGTCCTCCTGCGCCCATCCTCCTCCACATCCTCCTCCTGCTCAGTCCTCCTCCTCAATCCTCCTCCTCCCTCCTCCTTCTCCTCCTCCTCCGTCTCCGTCTCCTCCTCCTCCTCCTCCTCCTCATCCTCCCCGTACCATTCCCCCTCCTCCTCTTCTTCCTCCTTCTCCTCTGCCTCCTCCTCGTCTTCTTCCTCCTCCTCCTCCTCCTCCTCCTCCTCCTCCTCCTCCTCCTCCCCTTCCTCCTCCGGGGCGGGGGGCGCAGTCCTGCTATGCACGCGGGAGGCCTCCGCCAGCGGGGCCTGCGGACAGGTCGGGGCGGCGGGCGGGGTGGCCGGGGTGCGACCAAGATCGCCTCGACCTCCTCGCCCTCCCCGGGCTCCTCCTCTGGCCTTTCCCAGTCGTCGAGGTTCTCCGCCCCCTCCTGGTCCTCCTAGTCCTCCTCCTCCACCTCCTCCTCCTCCTCCTCTCCTTCCTCCTCCTCCTCATCATCATCATCATCATCATCATCATCATCATCATCATCATCATCATCATCATCATCATCATCATCATCATCATCATCATCGGCCTCCGTCTCCTTCCCTCGCTCCGGCGCCTCCTCCTGGCCTCGTCTCCTCCCCTCTTCCGCCTCCTTCTCAATCGGTCTTCGCCCTCTCCAACCCTCCTCTCTTATCCCTCCCCCTCCCGGAGGGTGGAGGCGAACGAAGTCCGAGGCGCGCGTGGCGGCAGCAGCGTGCAGGGCAGGTGAGAGCATGGGCGATGAGGCTGATTCCGCAGAGGGCAGTGCAGCAAGCGGGGGGGCTGGGACCGAGGGTGGTGGCAGTGCTGGGTGCGGCAGCGCAGAGAGCTGGTCCACGGTCCACGACCCCCAGTGCACGACCGAAATGGCGGCGCTGCAGCTCTGACACAGTCGGAGCACGGCCACGAGAACGTTGGTCAAGAAGGTGAGACGCCCAGAACGAATGAGACTCCAACGCGGGAAGCCCAAGCAAGAAGAACACGAGTGCAAATCCGCCGACCCCGTCGGCGTGCGCGAGACGTTTTCCCGTTGGAGTCGCCGTCGCCACTCTACCCCTTTCCCTGGGCCCTCCTCCTTGAGCGGCCCAGCCAGACGAAAATCGAACAACGTCGCGGTCGACTCAAAGGGAAGCCCCTTCCCTTCGATCCCTTCCCCGCCCCCGGGGAGGGGGCCCCAGGGGGTAGCGGGGAGGGACCCCAGGGGTCGTGACCCCCCCTCTCCGACCAAGACGGCACCAGAGAGCCCCACAGAGCCGCAAGAAGGGGGGGACGCCAATCGATTCGAGGGGAACGCCCTTGACCCCTCCCCCGAGGGGAAAGGCTTTGATCGAGGGAAAAGGGGGGACGCCAATCGATTCCAAGGGGGACGCCAATCGATTCGATTCGAAGGGGGACGCCTTCATCGAGGGAGGGGTCAAGGCCCCTCCCTCGATTCGATTCGAAGGGGGGACGCCAATCGATTCGAGGGGCAAGGCCTTGACCCCTCCCCCGCCGGAGGGCGGCGGCCCCAGGAAGGGATCGCTGGGGGCGGACTCGGGAGGGGCCCCGGGGGAGGGGGCCCCGAGGCCAACAGGGCCCACAAGGGACCCCACGAAGGCTCGAGAGCGTCGTCGTCGTCGTCGTCGTCGTCGTCGTCGTCGTCGTCGTCGTCGTCGTCGTCGTCGTCGTCGTCGTCGTCGTCGTCCCCCTTCACGGTCGGCGGTGCAGGCCGTAAGGCCTCCGTAGTCGCCGCTGTAGCCTTCGAAACCCACTGGGGTCCCGTCGGGGCCCCCGGGGCTGCCGAGGCACTGGCTGCCTCGGCTAGGTGGCCTGGCCCGCCACTAAAGAGAAAACCTGCGCAGACCTTTCTCCAGGCTTCCCCACAGCACTCCCACAAGCACATGCGGAGACCCTTCTCAGTTACTGTCGCGGTGCTCCCGCGGGTGCCTGCGCCCGTCTCTGCGCCCCCACGGGGGAAAGACGAGGGCCGACGATAGGGTCAACGCGTGGGGAATTGGGGGGATGTCAATGATGATGTCGCTGGTGGTGGTGGTGGTGGTGGTGGTGGTCACGGAGATGGGGATGGTGACTTCGGAAATGATGATGACGCTGCTGCCGCTGATGCTGATGCTGATGCTGATGCTGATGCTGATGATGATGATGATGATGATGATGATGATGATGATGATGATGATGATGAATATGCATATGAAGATGAATATGCATATGAAGATGAACATGAAGATGATGATGAAGATGCTGATGAAGATGCTGATGATGCTGATGATGATGATGGTGATGATGAGGATGATGATGCTGATGATGATGTTGGGACACCGGCGATCCTCAAAACCAAGCATACTGAAATCAACATAAGGGGAACATGGTTTGCTCATCAGGTGAATAACAGATCGCAGCGCGAAGCGAAATAATGAAGCCCTGAATCCCAAATCGCACGATCCTGACCCCTCCTCGCCCCAATGTTTTCCACAATATCTAATCGGTCTTTGCTTCCACCTCCAGATCTTCACGTGCCGTCCGTGTCCCTGCCGCTTCTTACCCAGCAAATCCTCAACAGAAGCACGGTACTCCACGTCCCTTTCCCTGAATCAATATCTCCAGGAGCCTGGGTTCGACACAATTCTCCATTCTAGAATTGTATCCAACCGAATTCCGTAACGCTCGCAGTGCGCTTCACGCCTGCTATATATTTACACACACCTATACTGCCACTATTCGGGTGATAAGGAAGTTGTGGGGGGAGGACCAATTGATGACAACTGCGATGCACGTGATGGTGCGTATGCTGGTGATGCGTTCGAGTTGGCGACGATGCGTGTTGACGAAACTGGTGACAGCGCATGATGGCGATTGTGGCTGCGGCGATGCATGGCAACGGCGAGACGCTGGTGATGAGCGAGGCATCGCAAACAGGCAGCACGCAGCAGTGACACATCATCCGCGACACACCCGCGATGGCGCATTCAGACCAGTGATTGTTTCGCCACCGCCATCCCGGGCAAATAGATGCAAGCTGCAACATCCATTGCTAGAGGTGGCGCTTATATGCCCGCGAACCCTGTGGCGCGCCAGATGGTCGAAAACATTTTCGCACAACGGCGGGCGAACTTGAGCCGGACTGCTGCGCGATGATGATGATGGCGATGATTACGAAGATAGCGATGGTGAGTACAATTTCCCCAAGGTGCATTTTCAAGAGCACCATCCGCAACTCTTTTGTTTCTGGCGCCGCCGCATATCGGCGCGCGAAAGAGCGCGCGCATGCGCATCTAACAACCACCCTCCGCATCCGCTAGCGCTCGCAAGGGCGGGCGCTGTCAGCGCGGGCAGCGCCCGGCGCTCACTGGGTCGCGCATGCCGGCCGGGCTCACTCAAGTACCCCACGGCGACGCACTCGCGCGCCCCGCGCCCGCATGAACGCGGAAGTACGCGCGCGCGCGGCGGAGCGCGGCATCGATTGAAAGGTCGGCACTGGCAGAGCCTGGCGCCCTTTTCACGAGCTGCCGCGTCGATGCGCTCATCTTCCGTCGGCGACGACGAGTCCGAAGACGCAGCCCTGCTCGTGGATCTGCCGGCAGCACTCGCGGTTCACTCGCATGAAAGGTTCGTAGACGCGGCAGCGGGCGCATGTCCGCGCGCGCACCCCAGCCCCGTCGACGACGGCGCTCTTTCGGCGGCTGCGTCTCGGCCCCGGCACCGCCGCTCTGTCGGCCAGGCGCGCGGGCCCGCGCGCCGCGCAGCTGGGCCGGGCGCGCCGCGCGACCCCCCCGCCCGGGCGAGCGGAATCGCCGGCCCCCCTGGCGCGCGGCGCCGCAGATCGTCGCAGACCGGCGCCGCAGAGAGCGCCGCGGCGACGCTCGTCCGCGGCGGCGAGGGCGGCGGCGGCAGCTCGCCCGACGTGGCCGCGGCGGCCTGGCCAGTGCCCCAGCCGCCCCAGCCGTCGGCAGCGCGGCCGGACAGGGCTCCGCCGCGGCGCGCTGCTGGCCGCGCAACTGCCTCCAATCCTTCCCCGTCCAACCCCGCCGCCGCGCGCGCCGCCGCCCCCGCCGCCCCCCCCCCCGCCCCCCGCCCGCGCGGCGCCGCCCCCCAGAGGAGGCGGCAGCCGTGACTCCCGAGCCGGCGGCGGGCCCGACGCGCCCGAAGAGCCCGGCGCCTCTGGCGCGACCTCCGTGCGCGCCCCCGCGCGACCTCGCATTTCGCCCGCGCGATGGTCGCTCCTCTAGGGCCCCGGCTGAACTCGGGCCGGCTCCGGGCGAGGAGCCTGAAGACCCCGGGGAGGCAGGGGCTCGTTGAACATGCCGCGCGTCGCGCGGCTGGGGTCTTCTCGCGGCCAATCCACGGCGGGCCGAGCGCCGCGCCTCGCGCGCGCAGACACTCGCGCGCGCGGCGAACTACGCGCGCGTCGGCGCCCGGCGCCGCAGCTCCCGCGCCTGCGCCCTGAAGGCGCGCCAGGGCGCGCGCGGGCAGAGCCTGGCGGCCGGCGCCCTGCGTCGGCGCCAGGCAGGTTCGTCAACAGCTGGGCCGAAGTGGCCGCCTAATGCGCCAGGCGAGAAGAAAACTCCGACGGGGTCGCGCGGGTGAGAGCGGCAGCCGCGCGGAGGCGCGCGAGCTCAGACGCCTCTTGTCTAGTTGCGCACTCGCCGCGCGCATCGAAACGGCGGCCATCTGCGATGGCGAGGCTGCGCGACAGGTCCAGAGCGTGCTGTTAGATGGCAGTGGCAGAGCCCGGCGCCAAAAAAGGCCTTGCACGCCGTCGCGGCCCTCGCTCTGCCCGCCGCGACGCCGCGGGCGCGAGGGCGCATAGTTGTTCAGCGCGACGCCCCATGAGACATCGCTGCGTCGTTGGGGCGGCCGCAAAGGGCAGCTGGTCGACGGGGCGCCCGAAGACACTGCGGAGCAACGTAAGTGACACCACCGGGAGCCACTATCTAACAATCTACCAGTCTCACAATCGCAGCCCATCTCACAGCCGGCCGCGATCTGCATCGATCTCACCATCAAATTTCCGATTATCGCTCCATCTGTCGACCCCACCGGCGATCCCACTATCGGCATCGCCCTGCAGGTCTCGCCGTCGATTAATCTACCGAAATTGCGATCGATTTTGATATTTTGATCTACCAATAGATCTCGTCGGTCTCACGGTCGGTCCCGCTATCGATCCCCCGATCGATCTCAATGTTGATCTACCTCCATCACTCGACCCTGCCCCCGATCGATCCCACCGTCGATCTGGCGATCGACCTCGATGTCGACCCCGCGATCAATCTCGCGGGGTACCGCGGGGCAACGAGGGAGCCAGACTGGCTTTCCAACGGGGAACCGCAGGGGCAACCAGCAGGGCTGGGCGGCACGCATTTGCCAGCGCTTCTTTCCGAAACAGTTCTAAACCGCAGGGCGCCGCGAGGCGCCGCGGGGCACCGCGGGGAACCACTGTCGATATCGCCATCTATCGATCTCGCTGACGCTCCCACCATCAATATCGCCATCGGTTTGCTGCTATTTTCCGATCTCACTATCTATCGACCTCGCCATCAGTCCCACTTTCGATCTCACGATCGAACAGCGCGGTCGATTTCGCCCTCGGCTTACCGCTCTATCTCGCCATCCTCGCCGTCAATATCGAGGTCGATCTCGCCGTCGGCCCCGCGACCGATATCATCGACGATCACTCCCGCAACCGCTTGCACAATGGACCTCGATATCTGTCGCGCCACCTCTCTCGATCGATCCCACTTTCGATGTCATGATCGACCTCCCTATTGATCCGCCATCGATCTCACTAACGATAGCGCGGCACAGCATTGCACTGCGCAGCGCGGGGCGCCCCCGCACCGCGGGGCATCGCGGGGCGCCGCGGGGCGCCATGGCAGAGCATCGCATGGCGCAGCAACGCGAAGAATCGCATAGCATAGCAACGCATCGCGTCGCATTGCGCTTGCGCAGCATAGGACAACCGCGGGGCGCCCGCGAACCGCCGCGGGGCGCCGGCGGAACGCCCCCTGGCCGCCGCCAGACAACTGGGGGGTAGAGTCATTGGACTCAGTTTTGTCCGAGCAACGGCGGGTTCATTCCTCTCGCCTGCCCGCGCGGCGTCGCCTCGCCCGCGCGTTCGACGCGAACGCGAAAACGAAGCCGATCCCCCGGCGGAGGTTCTGCGTCCGATTTCGATCTCGCCCGCCGACCTCCGATATATGCGATGCTGAAAATCCTCGCCGAGCTCGCCGGGGTGCTTCCGAGGGCGCGCCGCGCGCCGCTGCGTTGCCCCGCGAGCAGTCGCCAGGTCGCCCAGCTGGCCAGCTCGGAGGCTCCAAGACTGGGGGCCAAGAGAACGCATGATCGCGCAGTCTCACCCGGCAAGCGCAGCCACTGCCGAAGAGAAGCGCGTCCGCGGCGCAGCTTGATGTCGACCAGCAGCAAAGCCGACCCACGTCTTGTCGAGACGCATCTGGAACGCCCGCTTGTCGCTATCATCGAAGGTAGCGGTCGACCCCGACGCTTTGGGCTCGTCGCCTCGGTCCCAGTCGCGCGCAATCAGCTCCCCGCGCCGCGAACCGCGGGCCGATCTCCGACTTTGTCGGAGTCGATCGTCCAAGTCCACGCGCGCTCCTCCGCTGGAATTTACACCCACGCGAAAACATACATAGCTTCCATTCACGATGACTGGGCTCGGCGCGGCCTCGGCCCACGAAATAATTCAACATTGTTCCGCGAGCAAGGTGGTAGGGATGCGCGCGCCGTCGGGCTGGGGCACTCCAGCGCCCTCCCCGCGACGCCAGCGCGCGCGCGACCGCCATCGGGACCAACATCCAATTGGACCGCGCTGGCCCAACAGGGCCCCCCTGCGGCGAATATCTGCCAAGTCGAACGGCCCTGGACTGGGCAATCTGATGCAGCTCGCAGATCGCACGCTTCCCCCCTCGCTTCCTCGCCCAAGCGGCAAGCGAAAGCTTCGGGCCCTGACGTGCTCGTGCACGTCGTAGGACGGAACCGTGCAGAACGCGACCATCTGCTTCATGAGCATCCCCATCCGCAAGAATCAACTGTCGGCCCGCCCCCCATTTCCCCCCAACTCGGAAAGGCGCCTCGATCGACAACAATCTCCCCCGCGAGCTGCTTCCGGAACGCGAGCTGGCACAGCGAACGGCGCCGT